CCCAGATACAACGAATATAACTTAAATCTTATGGCATCGACATCGAGTTGCTGTTGCGCATTCCGGGAGTGCAAATCCAATCTCATGCCGACCATACTGATCTGTGGACGGGACCCTGCGCCCAGCCGGCAGCTTTGTTTCACTCTTTTTAATTAATTTGCAACCTAAAGGGCTGCGTCGAACCGACCCTATGCCCGAAACAGTGGAAACAGTGGACAAACTCATGTGCATATATATATATATATATATATTATATGTACACATGTATGTACGTATGTACGTATGTACGTATGTAGGTATGTATGTATATGTATGTATGCATGTATGTATGGTGTACCATAAACCCTGTGAACCGTACGTAAAACAGTGTGCATACATTGAGCCACTAAAGAGCAGTGTTGCAGCCAAGTTGCAAGGGAATCACCATCATCATCCTTGCAGCTTTGCGTTGCAGTTGGAGGCTTTCTTCGGGACTGTTGCTGATGCTTCTGTTTTGGTTTGCTACGTGTGTGCACTGTGCACTCTGCAGTTGGGAGCAAGGCTGGACGAGTCCGGCTTCTGTGCTCATCGCTACTGTATCATATATTATAGATGCTCGTCGTTTGATGCCAAGAACTACCGCTCAAGTACCGCTACTCGCAAACACCGTAGTAAAGTAATACCAAGCGCGCCATGCTGATCAAACTCCGGGCTCACCATGGCGACGGCCGCAAATTCCAGAGGCTTCTGGTTTGGAGCTTAAAGTTTTGTCGGGCAGGGGGTCCTGATAGCAAGGATCCTGCGACTTTGTCGACGTGCCTCAGACTCTGTTAACCCCGAAACAGAATTGACTAAGCATGGCCTACCTGTGCACGTGGAACCGTGTCATTAAGCACATGAAAGCGAAGAACATTAGCACGCAGAAAAGAAACAAACCATCCGCAAAACAACAGAACAACAACAGAGCAGCTGGCGACCGCACCCTTAACAAGGAATGTCACAAACAATGGCCGGCACCACAGCACCCCGGTTACCAGCAGCAATCTCAACAACACAGTATGATGCAACAGCAGCCATTTGGCAACAACACTGCGAGTACTAATCCGACAAATGACCAAGTTACCACACGAACCTACAAGCCTCTGAACAGGCATTCGCAACCACACCGTGGGCAGTCGCAGCAACAGCAGCAAAACAGCACCAGTTTGACAGTCACAGCAACAACCCACAGAGAAACTCCAACACTACCAAGCGGTCACATAGAAACTAGAACCGGCAGAAACCTTGCGAATGTCTCTGTCTGTTTGTGTGCGTGCATCGCGCCCCCGGAGCCACACCGAATGAAGTCAAGTCGAGCATCACATTCCCCATTGTCGCGCCAAGAAGTCCAACGACGGTAGCAACGTCACGGACCTGCTGCTGACTATAGATTCAGGCCCAGGCCCTTTTTGCATCGGTATCCAAACTCGCCCCGTCCCCCTACTGCAGATGCTGTGGTAAACTCCGGCAGATGTGTTTTTGCCAAAGACGCTTCAAGAATTGGCTAGTTCTGATTGGGGCTTCTGGCTGGCCGGGTTTTATTGCAGTATACTTGTAAAGTGCTTGGGACATGTCCTGGTAGATTCATAAAGGCACTTCAAAGCAGTCTCCACTCAAGAAACATAGCGCATCGGCTTTTCATCGGTCCTTGTAAGGACACCAACTAGGAGGCTAAACTACATCCAATCAAGTGGACTGCTCTGAAACCTTCCAGCTTCAGAGCACTGTCCGTCAGGTTTTCCGAGTTAAACCATTAAGCCAAATCCCAAAGCCTAAACGACAAACCCCCAATAAACCCAAAAACCCAAGTCACAATCTGTCAAAGTTGCATTCATCGCAATGACCATGTCGGTGAACAGGCAGAGGAGGGTCAGAAGGTAGCGCACCATTCTTCGGATGTTCGGCTCCTTGGCCAGACAGCATGGGCATCCATCCATCCGAACATGCATATTCACATACACACATACATACATACACACATACATACATACATACATACATACATACATATATATACATATATACATTCACCTGCACTTTCGGATGCAGCCTATGCTTGCACGTAAATGAAAAAACATGCGGTTGGGGAGGCGGCTGCCCTGTGTGCACTCATGACTTGCTACGCAGACATGGAGCAGAAATCAAACCCTAACCGCGAGACGGAGACATGAACAACCCGCGGGCTGTAGATGGCCGCTGTGCGTCAAACGCCATCCCTAATAACGTCACTCCGTCACAAGAGGCGTCCGCTTGAAAGCCACATTCCGAATGGGAGATGTAACTGGCAGGAAAGCAAACATCCGAAGAACCGTCTCCCAAACGGATTGAACGAGGTAACATCCTGTTTCAGGGTTTGGGATGGAGGGCTGAGGGTTTGGAGTTGAGGGTTTAGGTGCGCGCGAATTCCAATCTCATTGCTAAACGCTTGTAGACTTCAATTCGGATGCCAAGGATAAATCCTGTTTGCATCCTGGGTGCACTGGGGAAAAGGTGCCTCTCACGTTGAAGCCCTAAACGGCCCCAACGCTTAGAAGCTTCCTTTATGACTGTAATTAGACCAAAAATCATATAACAGATCCAAGTAGAATTGGGGATTGCGAGGGCATTTACGGCCTAGGTCCCCCATAAAGACATTATTAACACATTCTGTAAAAGTGCCGGTTAAATCAATAGAACGCCGACCCCACCTCAAAAATCGATCGCAAATAACAGTGACTACAGTATTGAAAACAACAGAAAGAATGCATCTGTGCATGTGTAAGCACATATTACGAGACATAAGCGAGCAACTTTAGTAGCAACAACAGCAGCAATGATCATAACTGTAGCAACAATAATACACATGAAACCAACAGTACTCATAACAACAACAGGACGGGCAGTATCAGCAGCAGCAGCAGCAGCAGCAGCAGCAGCAGCAGCAGCAGCAGCAGCAGCAGCAGCAGCAGCAGCAGCAGCAGCAGCAGCAGCAGCAGCAGCAGCAGCATCAATAGTAGTGGTAAT